AGTCACATGTGTGGTGGGGACAGTACATCATGTCTCACAGTCACATGTGTTGTGGGGATAGTACATCATGACTCACAGTCACATGTGTGGTGGGGACAGTGCATCGCATCATGTTCTCAGTCACATGTGTGGTGGGGACAGTGCGTCATGTCTCACAGTCACATGTGTGGTGGGGACAGTGCATCATGTCTCACAGTCACATGCGTGGTGGGGATAGTACATAATGTCTCATAGTCACATGCGTGGTGGGGACAGTGCATCCAGTCTCCTCCAGGCAGTACTGCTTTTAAGGTAGCCAACATGTTTTAGGTAACCTGACATCTAAGTTCATTTCTATCAGCTTACCAAACATCTTCAGTTATTTTTCTAGTTTAGAAATAAAAGAAATCCTGAATATTGCACCTCATTCGTTAGGAGTGGGCATAGCAAACATCAAGACCTCCCTTCCCCATACACAAGCATTTATAATCCTAAATCCAATAAAGTAATTTTACTATTAAAGATAACAAAAAAGACTTTTCTCATCCATAAACTTTTAATTTTAGGTCATATTTCTAGGTTTATCTATAAGTGAAAAGAAGGAAACATTTGTCAACCGTACTGATAACTTTATATACATATGTATACATATATCAAGGGGGAAAAAAACTCACCAATTTTTTCATCCAAACACATAATTTTCTCCTGAGTGAGTTGTAGTTCATACTTTTTCTTAGCAAGATGTCGCTGAGTGTCAGAAAGATCTTTTTCGGTGTTTTCATATAAAAGTCTGCAAATATTTTAATAATAAAACTAATTCTAGAATTTTAAGAGATTTTTTTCATTTTCAATTTTCTTAAATCTAAAACACACTCATACACTTTCCTTCTTTTTACTATTTGCATTAAAAATCTACCTGCTAAGAAGTTTGGAAAAAGAGAGGGTGGAGAAGATCTTCAATCTACCACCTGAAGCTAGATAAACCACAACTAGCATTTTGGTCCTAACTATTCAATTTTTTTTTCTTTCTGTATATTTTTAATTATTATGCTATAAATTTAATCACTTGATTTTTTTTTCACCTAACACTTAATCTTTGGTGGTTTTCAGTTTTATCACACAGTCTTATGACTGTTTAGCATCACAGCAACCACTAGTTAGTTACCTCTGCACAGCAAACAGGTATGGTATATAGAAGCACAAATTCTAATACTAGACAATATGAATCCACAATAATATATATAAAAGTAGAGAAGTTTAATGGAGAGTGTAAAGAATTACTTAGCAAAGATTTGAGAGTAGAAGGAAGAATCTCTGAAAGGGAGGCCTAGAATTTGAGAGCTGGTTTTTTAGGGGTTTTCTCCCTCTGAATTTATTGATTCAGGAAAAAGTAGAAAAAAATACTGAAAGATGAACACAACTTTGACATTTCAAGAAACCAAGAGATAAAAATTCCAGTGTTGTCAGAAAGTGCTGCAAGCTTTGGTAATTTATCCACTACCCCATCCAAGTCTCACACAAATACTTGGTTGGGACCCTGAATAAATAAACCCAAAGACTTGAACCCCACATTGAATTACCTCAACTCTTAAAATGAGAGGGATCCTGATGGGTAGTTGTTAGTCACTGTAGTGAAACAAACATATATTCTCTTTAGCTTCTTAGCTTCAAGTGATTTATCTAATTTTTCATATTAAATGTTTCATAGCTACTAAAAAACAATCAGGTATCTAGAATACATTGCACAATCACAAAATAAGAGATAACAAAAGCAGAACCAGGGGGACTACCTAGTAAAATTATCAAACAATTAGAAAGAATTCAAAAATTACCAAACAATATCCTTAATACATAATAATCCATAGGCAAGTAAAATCTTGCTGAAGACTATTCAAAACAGCTGAAGTATCAACAGGGAAATGACAAAAGTTCACACTAGACAAACAACCAGGAGAGAATAAAAGGGACAAATGGGACCTTCTAAGAAGTATCGTATGCACATCCAAAAACTTCTCCAACAGGGTAAAAAGGAAAGTCACAGACTGGAAAAAAAAATTTGGTAATGACACATTTGATAGGAGACTTATATCTAGAATTTATAGAGTGCTCCAGCACCACAACAAGATAAAAGTATATAACCCAATTGCAAAATGGGCACAGGATGGGAAAAGACATATCACCAAAGAAGACATTCAGATGGAGAACACACACAAGAAGAAATGCTCAAAATCCCTAGGTCTAAGAGAGATGCAAATTAAAACAACTATGAGATACCATCTCACACCAGTAACAATAGCAAAATTAAACAGAGCAGCAAACAACATATGCTGGCAGGGTTGTGGAGAAACTGGAACCCTTATTCACTGTTGGTGGGAATGTAAAATGGTGTAACCATTCTGGTAGGCAGTATGGCACTTTCTCAGAAAGCTGGAAATAGAAATACCAATTGTTGGAACAATGAATGAATGGAAATCCAAATTCCTTATAAAC